TCTTCTCGTCCTTTTCTATTTTGGTCCTGGGGATTAAACCTAGGACCTTCGCACTGAGCTACATCCCCAGCCCTTTGAGGATTTTTTTGGCGGTGGGGGTGGTGTCTCACTAAGCATCTAAATTGCCCAGGATGGACTGAACCTGCGATCCTCCTACCGCAGCTTCCCAGACTGCTGGGGTCAAAAGCATATGTCACCGTACCTGGCTATTGTCCATACTGTATCTCTTGGGATGCTCACAGCTACCCACATTGATATGCACGTTTTTGCCCCCTTTTCACAGAGAGAAAAACCAAGGCTCAGCAAGAAAAACCTTGCTCCAGACAACAAGGGGGAGAGTTCTCATGTCTGTCTAAATCCATGATATGTGCTACTCCAGCTGCTTATTCCTGGCAAGGACACGCCCTGTCAGAGCTACTGCCCTGGAAATTCCATTTCAAGGCAGATAAGAAGGGGAACAAAGGGCACATGTGACAAGATGTGTGTGAAACGGGTGCTCACACTCAGGGAGTAGTGGAGACAACGGAGGGCAGAGGGCTCCTGTTTCATTGTGTTGGCAGAGAAAGCTGTGCCTAGTAACTCTGGGGAAGGGTGGTGGCCCAAGGAGTGTTGACAACTCCATGAGAGTCCAACACCAGGTAAACCCAGTGCTCTCCGACCTGCCTACTCTTCTCCTGGACACGGTCAGGGTTGGTCTCCAGCCCCTGGTGCTACAGGAAGGTAGCAGAATCTGTAGCAGGTGGTGTCTGGTGGGAGGAAATGAGGTTGTTGGGGGCATTTCCTTGAAGGGCGTTTGGGATCTCAGCCCCTTCCCTCGTCAGTGTCCCTCCTTCCCGGTCACCATAACCATGTTATTTTGTCATAACAACAGAAAGCTGACCGATACAGCAGCCATGATAAGGAAGGAGGTCCCTGGCTGACCGCATGGAAGACTGCCTACAGACCAGGAGTGCTGGATTTGACTGTATGTGGGAAGGAAACACTTCCATTGAGTTGCGCCCCTGAGATTTGGAGTTGTTTATTGACAGAGATAGATTTTCCTGACAAATTCTCCCCCTTATTTGCTATTTCCCCCTTGAAGGAGGAAGTTTAGGTTGAGCTAGCGAATTAATATTGTTTGTTTCAAGCTCTAGACCTGGGGTCTCTCCAAATCCTCCAGTGAGCTGGTCCTGGGGTTGGCCAGGCCTAGTGGCTGGGAGCTCTGGGGCCAATGCCTGGACCTCCCTGTGGCACCTGTGTAGCTGTCCCCCAGACCTTTGTGTCCATCACAGGGTGACCTTGGGTGATTCATCTCTTCTTTAAGTGTCAAAGCTTCCTTCCCCAGTGGGAGAGAGAGAGGGCTGTGGTGCCCCCTGCCTCATCTCACAGGGACCACAAATGCCAAGGAACTGAGGCAGATGTTGTTTAAGAGGATTTATTTTCCAGAAGGCCTGAGGGGCAAGAGTGGGACAGGAGGGGATGTGTGTTCCAGGACACTTGGGGGATCCATTCATGAGCAGTGGGCAGGTGAGGGACACAGGCTTGGAAGACCTAGTGCTATGTGGTTGGCACAGGGGCACTTTGGACCCAAGCCCTTCAATAACTGTGAGGTGACTATTCTCATCTTCCTTTGTCACATGAGGTTCAGGGAAGTGGCATGGCCTACTCCGGGTCCCGTAGCTGCAACCACCATGCTGAGCTGCACCAGGATCCCTCAGAAAAACAAGCATTGTCAAATTTATTCTCTTTATCTGGGACACTGCAGTCCCAAATTCCACTTCTTAGCCTGGTCCCAGACACCCAAGAACAAGTTTCACCAGGCTCCTTCACTTGTCTACACACACACACACACACACACACACACACACACACAC